CTTAAAAATTGGGGACTCTTATGAGGTTTGTTCAAGAAGAAAGTATATAAACACACAAAAACAAAATCCTAAGCAAAAACACTCTGTCCTGTTTCTTGCCAGAAGCAGCGGCCAGCAAACCAAAGCATTAAAAATGGCTTCTTGTTCTCTAATTACTCCCGCTTCTTCTTTAGCTTCATCTTCTCTACGCAAGTTATTTTCTTCAAGAAACTCCATGACTACTGTGGGTTTGCTCTCTTTTGCACCAAGAACTTCAAGCTTTATCCTTCGCTCAATCAAGCAAAGGGCTTATCATGAAAGTTCATTTAGAGGTGATTTTTTCGAACCCTGTTATGTTCAATTTCTGATTCTTTTTTGGGTCTTTGTTTTATCAATAAAGATAGGAACTTTATTGGGATTTACCTGTTTTCTTGTTTAACGTGATTCACCTGTTTTCTTGTTTAACGTATTTCTCATGGTTTCTCTAGATTTGTAAAGTGGGATTCTTCAACTGGAATTTGGCTCAAGTGTACAATTTGATGGGTTTTTTTCCTCCCAATATTTTGTTATTGAAATATGAATTGAGAGTTATTTCTGTCTTTGTTTCACTGGCCAGCTGTACTTAATTGGATTTTGATTGATGAATTGTATGGTTAAGTGTTATTATAAACTTGTTAATTGATGAAATATTTGTATGTCATGGAGGAGGGAACAATTTTATTAATATATTATGTTTAATGGTAGTTTGCAATTGAGAAAAGTAATGTTCGTTGAAGAATTTCTGTTTCTGCAGCTTCATAGAGAATTTGACTGCGTTGAAATGGGTCTGTTTTGTTTTGTTTGTTCTTTTTGATAGTGAGATCAGTGGCTGCACCAGTAGAAGATGTTGCTGGATTTGATGATATGGTTGCTGGGACACAGCGGAAGTATTACATGCTTGGTGGGAAGGGAGGTGTGGGAAAGACGAGCTGCGCTGCTTCACTTGCTGTGAAATTTGCAAACAGTGGACACCCCACTTTAGTGGTTTCAACTGATCCAGCACACTCCTTGAGTGATTCTTTTGCTCAGGTTGGAACAAGAAAGTACCTTTCTTATTTTGTTTACAAATATCTGCTTTGCATTTTAGTAGAGCTTAACATGAGTGTCGTGTTTTTATGCAGGATTTGACTGGAGGTACACTAGTACCTGTAGAAGGACCTGAATACCCACTGTTTGCTCTTGAGGTTTGTGGGATAAACCTTCCTTTGACTTTCTTTAATGGTGGCTCTCTTTTTTCATGTGCACTATGATGTAATCATCCTTCTAAAAAGGATAAAAAAGCTATCTATTGGTGATTTTATGGTGGTTTTGCTTCTCAATGTACTCAGTAAGCCAGATTTTTAGCATTGCAACAGATAAATCCTGACAAGTCTCGGGAAGAATTTCGTAGCGCGACTCAGAAAAGTGGTGGGACTGGGGTCAAAGACTTCATGGAAGGCATGGGCCTTGGAATGCTCGTTGAACAGGTAATTCCTTGTCCATATCTGTTTGCATTGCAACTTAAGATAATATATTACACTGACTGAACTTGCATTCTGATTTGTCATTCATGGTTTCAATGCTGTGATAGTCATGGCAAATCTCTCTGTTTTTTCCTTTTTTTCCCATTTCTGTTGGTCATCCAAGGTTAGGCAAGTAGCACTTGTGTTTTTAAGAACCATCACCTAGAATTTTGGATCTATATTTCCCTCCTTCATCAGAACAAAAATTGGAATTATCTCTTATATAATGGATTGTGATTGATGCCCTACTTCTTTTGACCTGTTTTTTCATCCTTTTGTGGAAAAAGTTAGGAGAATTGAAATTGGGAGAGCTGCTGGACACACCTCCTCCTGGTTTGGATGAAGCTATAGCAATTGCCAAAGTACAATTTATCTTTGTTTTTCATTGTTATATTTGTATTCTGAGTGGACTGTCTCTGTATTTTTTGATTTCCTTGTTGAACATAAATACTCTTGACAGGTGATGCAGTTTCTCGAATCACCAGAATATAGTATGTTTACTCGAATAGTTTTTGATACTGCACCCACGGTGAGCTTAAGCACCAGAATTTCTGTGAATTTTTGGAATGAATCAACGGAGGTTCATGATTGTTCTTTACAGGGCCACACATTGCGACTTTTGTCCTTGCCGGACTTCCTGGATGCATCCATTGGCAAGATACTGAAGGTAGAAACACCATCGTGAAACAATGAAAACATAAACGTGTTCTTGACACTTCTGAAAAACCTGGAAAATTTCATCTCGACTTACTTATCTAGAAAACGTGTTTTTATATAGTGTAAGTTGTAGGTACTTCCTTGAACATTATTTATAATGAATGAACTGCATGCCATTTAATTTTACATGACTTTGGTGTCTTTCAAAGAGTTCATCGCTATGTTGTATAATCAAAGGAATAACTAGGGTCTAGGGATGTGTTAGTGACTAATAACTTGTTTTAGCTCCTTTGAAACTGTTTTTCATTTGGTTATCGTGCATTTCTCTAAAACTGTTTTCATTGTACTGCAGCTTAGACAAAAAATAACTTCAGCAACCTCAGCTATCAAATCCGTTTTTGGCCAAGAACAAACTAGCCAACAGGATGCTGTAAGTCCGAATTCTTTGTGAAATGGCTTTATGCTCCACCTTTAAATTCACAAGCCCTCTTTTTTAATTTTTTTTCTCTCACTTTGCAGGCTTACAAATTGGAGCGATTGAGGGAGAGGATGATAAAAGTGCGTGAGCTTTTTCGTGACAAAGATGCCACAGAGTTTGTCATAGTAACGATTCCAACGGTAATATGTCATATTGTTGAATGAAGGGCTTATTTGCTCGCTAATGCAATCCTCTTTTAAGTCTAAGCTTGAGGGGAGAACTTTTTTTCTTCCCTTAAAATAAAAATAAAATAAGATAAAATGGAGCTCTTCACACTTTTCTGTGCTCTGGGTTCTCTAGAACACTGATTCACTTAACAGTTGGGGAAACATTTCCAATGCACAATATACCGTTGAATGGTCAGAGTAAAATGGTGTCATTTTCTAGAGTAGCTCATTTGCAGACAAGGAGCGGAAAAGGATAGCTAGAAGTACAGCTTATTAAGAGTGTTTTGCTTCAAAAGGAATGATTACCATTTCGTTTGTTTTTCCAAGGTAATGGCAATCAGTGAATCATCTAGGTTGCGTGCATCCTTGAAGAAGGAGAATGTTCCTGTTAAGAGGCTTGTTGTCAATCAAATTCTCCCTCCATCTACCACTGACTGCAAGTTTTGTGCAATGAAAAGAAAGGTATTATTACAGTTACTGTTTGCACCTTTGAAGCTTTGAACATCAGTACAACCATCCCCTCATTCCTTTGCACTTGCAGCATAGGAAAATTAATATTTCTCATCAAGATGAATAACATTTTGAGCTGAGGTTTAACCAAAAAAATCATTAATCATTTAAAAAAAAAATTTCAGGATCAATTGCGTGCTCTTGACATGATACAGAATGATCCAGAACTCTCGAGCTTGGCATTGATACAGGGACCTTTAGTTGATGTAGAGATCAGAGGTGTTCCAGCCCTTAAATTTCTGGGGGATATTATATGGAAATGAGCTTCTGTAGAATGATCCAAGAAGTCGCTTGGAGATGTCTATTTCATTCCAAATGAGAACTACGTGAACTGGAGGTTTAGGTTCTTTCTTAGTAACATCAATGCATTTTTCATTGCCAGAGGCAATTACTTGATACAGAAGAAGCTGAAGTCTCCTGTATTTCCGAATCCACTGTGAAGCTACCTAGAGCAGGACGGGTGGTGGAGGCCCTTGCTCTCAACACTGTGAAGGGCTAAAAGTTCAGTGAGATGACACCTTTTTGTTTTCCTTTCTGTTTCGCAACTGAAGAGCTAAATTTCTCAGTTTAACATCTAGCCTCGTCATCCAACTTAAATTTGACATGGCAATAACAATGCTATTCATGGAGTTCCCAATGAGCACAAGGTGCCAATCAATCGCAACACATGGCATGGAAACAAATCGAATATTTTAAGTTATTAGCGCTCCTTTTTTGTTCCTACTCACAAACTGCAATGATGGAATGTGCATAACCAGCAGCCCCAAAAGTCTGATCACTAGGTTTTTTTATTGATCCTAAGCAGGCTCCAGCGAGCAATAAGATCAGATAATCTGCTGCTTGGATTTTAGCTTCCTTTAGTCTCTGTTTAGAAATCCTGTTGATATGAAAATCAAGAGTAAGAATAACATTACAGACCACAGAAATAGTTAATCGCTTTCATAAGGTTGAGTCATATTTTCCCTTTCCAGGGGCTACTGCACTTTAATTATTCACTCGGTATTTGCTTGAATAGAAGGAAAGCTGTAGCTAGCATTTTGGCAGTATAGTTAGTAACCAATTATGGTTTGCAACACATTCTGGAAACATTCTTCTCGGGTGTTTCTAGATCAGAGCCTAGTAGCCTGCCATTTCTCTTAGAAATAATTCAAAGGGATGAGCAACAACATTAGGCATATTTCGAAAGAGAATCATGCCCGTGACTTCCTTATCAAGGTTGTACACAAGAACTCTCATCTTTCATATATTATAAATAACGCAGAAGCACAGAAACATCTCTGCCCAAAAAAGAAATAAGAATTGAAAATTTCTGAGAGTAATATTTCCTCAGAAACGCCTGAAAATGTCACAAATTACTTGGAGTCTACCTGCCAAGGAAGTATCGATATTGCTGGAATATTCCTGGAGTTCGCTGATATGATAAATCATTAGACTTCAAAAAATTGTGCCGTATCTTGTCCCGATGGAATCCAATCCCGTTTAAAGCAACGCCATGCCAATGACAATAATTCATGCTTGATGATGAAATATTATTGACCATTGCATGTGGCATCTGATCACATCAAGAATCTACCCCTGCAAAGTAGACCAAGACTTGTTGAAATGACATGAATGAACTTACAGCACAAGAGAAGTGATATCTTTCATCTTAATAAACTACACGTGGCTCAAGAAACCAGGATTTAGAGGATTCAGAGATAGCGCAGCACACGGCATCATCAGCTAATTTCAACAAAGGATGCCTAACTAAACAAACGACAACTTTGACACGGCAAGTTTCACCAAACCCAGTATCTCTATGATATTCTTTCAAATAAGAGCCTTCCTGGTAACTTTAAGAGATTTCTTTTATTTTGATAGCCAGGATGATTGGGGAGAATGATGCTGCCATTGCTCGTGCTCTCCAAGAAGAACTTTCAAGGATTGCTGCTGCAGAAGGATCTGGGGTAAGTAACACTGAACAAGAATTAATTATTACGCAGCACTGGCCTGGTATGATTGTGGGGAATAACGCTGTCATTCCTGTAAGTGTGACTTCTGCCAGACTATACCACACTGCAATGAAGATTAAGATAATATTCCTTCCAAACTTGAGTGATTGATATCCTTTCAAAAATGAAGAATTGAGTATCCTAAATTTCTCATCTGTTTTTGGCAGCATGTTCCTAAAACTAATGGAGAAATACCATCGGAGGACGAACAGACGTCAGATCATCAAAGACTGCTACAAAGGTGCTGTATATATATTCCTCTCTTGTGTTTTTAATTTTATGCAAATTTGTCTCCTGGACAATCTCATAAGGTGTGAATCCCCAAGAATTTGTCTTTATATTGTAATGTACTGCTTCAAACTACAACAGGAGATGGAGAACTGGCTGGAGGTGGATTATTAGGTGCCTTATGGTGTACCTCCCATCGGAAATTGTTGTGGATAACTTTATTTTCTAGATAGATACGTTCATTTTATTATCAATTATTAACATTTTGGGGGTCAAGGTTTCAGCATCTAAGGCATAGCGTGTGGGTTTTAGTATCTTTCATGTTATCATGCTCTCCTACAGTATGGGTTTTGAGATCCAGGTTTTTGGCGTGTTTCATGCCTCTTTCCTTAATGAATGTTGTGGTTTTGCCTCTAAATTATCTTGACCTGAACAATATTTTTAATAGCAATGTCTTGTCTGTTTTATTAGGTTAAAGTTATATAATCTTGTTGAGAAAGAAGTTCAAGGAGATGGTAACTGTCAGGTTGGTGCCCTCTTTATTTTAAATATAAATGGTAGTGCAAAAAAGCTTGCTTCTAGCATTCTATTACCTCGTGTTATTTTCTCAAGTTATGTCTCACTTGTTCATGTTTTTTTGCAGTTTCGTTCTCTGTCATATCAAATCTATGATGCTCCTGAGCACCACAAATCCGTGAGAGAACAAGTTATTGGACAGGTTGGTTTGTGTTTTAATAAGTGCGCTTCTATGCACTTGTATTAGAGTCTTCTTGATCCATTCGTATACATTTAAGCATGCACTGTAATCATATTTCCCACCATGTTGATTTCATCAGCTCAAGTCTCAGCCGCAAATGTACACCATGTTGATTTCATATAAGCGTAAACTGTAATCTTATATCTAACCATGTTGATTTCATCAGCTCAAGTCTCAGCCGCAAATGTACAGCAGCTATGTTCCTATGGCTTATGACGACTATCTGGAGAAAATGAGCAGGTTTGTAACTTATCTCTGTTTCTTTCTTTCTTTCTTCTTGTTTTTTTTTTTTAAAAAAAAAATCCCATGGCTTTCTTTAAATAGATTCGTGCTCATATGTATGTATTTTTTATGTGGCTAAAATTAGGAGTGGTGAATGGGGTGATCACGTAACATTGCAGGCCGCTGCAGATTTGGTATGGGCAAATACCTTACTTTGTAGATTCCCTCTTCTTTTGTCTGCTTTTCTTTCTGTTGATCTTCATGTTATTTATTAACCTTTTCTGGAATGTATCAATGAGTTGTGAATTTGATGATAATCGTTAATGGATATTGAATATATGGATTCAACTAGTTATTTATGCAACTGAATTCTCCTAAACCTGAATCTCCAACTAGCTGAATTGAGCTACATGAATCTTTCTCCTTCACTCTGCTTTTTGTGAGCCCAAATTCTTCATGAGACGACTAGGGATTATTATATCAATCCCCATAACTTTAATTAAGTGAATTGCCTTCATGCTTATGAGCGATTCTTTCTAGGATAAAAATTGTGTAATTGCTGTTCTTCTCTAACAGTATCTTTTTCTCAATGCATTATATACAACTTGAAATATGCAAGTAATGTAGCTACTAACATGAAATTTCATGCAAGCATGCAAGCAAGGTTGCTAAATTACTTTATTACTTTTTAATTATTATTTTTATGATTTCATGTATGCTACATGTTTGCTGTCGGTCATTTTATTTTAGAGGCTTAAAGCTTCTTTAACTGATGTCTATGCATGTTGCCATGCAATTGCAGTATGGTGTCAACATATTTATGATAACTTCATTCAAGGATACATGTTGCATCGAGATCCTTCCACAAGTTCTAAAGTCCAACAAAAAAGGCAAGATTAGGAAGTTTTACATTTTAAACTTATTTGTTGGTTGATACAAATCTAAAAGCGAAGAATGCTCCACCATCTTTCTAATATGTAGAGATTTTACATGTAAGATTTGTTTTGGTTGTAGACTAAAATTTGTTGATTATGGAATTAGGAAATGTAAAATGGTGGAAATTTTATTACATTGAACACTCGAATGATCAGAACAAGAAAAAATTTTATTCAGCTTTAACCAAGTAGTTTCCGAAAAAAAAAGGAAGAAAAAAGGAGGAAAGATTCATGAAAATGTTGGATGAGATCTGAATTCCAATTCCCTTGCAAACTTTTGTTTTGTGCAGTTATTTACTTGAGCTTTTGGGCGGAGGTGCACTACAATCCTGTTCGTCTCATGAGGTAAACATTTGGATCTTGTTTGTCAAAGCAATGAAAGTTGATCTGTGATACTTCTTTGTAGGGTCTTTTTCTGGCTTCCATCTGATGTTGTCATGGTCTTCTATAAAAGCAATATTTGAAAAACATGAGACACCTGATCACAAACATAGTTCCACCTATTGTATATATGTCCAATATAGACTGTTACTTATTGGCGATGAGCTTTTCAATTATCGTTTGAAATTAATTCATCTACAGAAACTTGGTAAATGATACATGAAAAAAATTTCCCACGATAAAAAAGAGATCAAGTGAATGTTGAAATGTGAAAGAAACGATGTATGGTATACCGGCAATGTGCGCTGAGCCAGAGGTTCTCTTCCAACTGTCAAGTTCCCATGCACGGCATCACCTTGTGGAACAAAACTGATAATTTTCTTATATGAGTGGATGGACTCGTTTTTCCCATTGATAAGAATCAAACCAATCATCCTGCATCCAATTGCTTTCCCTGCAAGAGCAGAAAGAAACGTGATCTTCCCAGCTACTGATGGACCCTTTACAGCTGTAATACGGCCAGGCTTGATTCTTCCTGTTACACACCTTAATAGATGTTTGTTTTTGGCTTTTAAAGTAAGGGTTAGGCCTTTAAATGAAATCTCAATCAGAGGCCTTTTCTTGATTTCGGTATTAGTAGCCATCAAAACTACTCCTGAGAATGTAAGATCCTTGCTTTGTTGCTGCATGGCTTTCTCTGTCATTCTGAACATTTTATGAAGGATATCATAATATGTTCAGTAAGCATAAAAAAGTCCCGGATCATTAATTAAGTTAACAGATGGAACCGAAAGAGGAAGTGTGAAAGTATATTTTAAGATAACGCGAAATAACTCACTGTTAACAGCATCCCATAGGCATGGGTGTTTTGACTCGTGGAGTTTGCATCACATGAAGTCAACTTGAAGCAGGCTGCAAGGTGGTTAGCAAAGCTCAAAACCAGCTATACCGGAGAGGTGAAGAGCCGATATTGAAGACAGAACAGTGCATGATATCAGGAATACAAATCTTGAATATATAAATTCAGTTAACATGGACTCTACAGCAAACAACTTCACAAGAAAAGAATGATTAAAGGCAGAAAATAATAAAGAAAATTCCTACGTGTCTCAGATGTAGATCCCGTCCTGCAATAATGTCTGAAAAACCGATGAAATCATGCATCCCATTAGTAAAATTAACAGGAAGGTGACCAAGAGTTTAAATTGTCATAAAACGTATATATCAATTGAAATATAACAATTAGATAGTTAACACATTAAAATAAGATTTTGCAACAAGAAACAATAGGTTGTTAAGCAAGTAATTTTGGTCAAAAGGAATACCCACTACTGCAAGAATTTTTCTGGACTGTTGACGGACAGTATGATCCTGCTGTACAGAATATGACACTACTTTTCTGGTCTGTGGCCGGAAAGTATGATCCTGCTGAACAGAATATGTCACTACTACTGCCAACATCAGCCCATATACTTGCTCCTCCACAAGTATGGTTTGGCTGTCCTGGAGGCAGTTGATAAATGTACCTGCCAGATCATACATACATAGGGTGCATGTAGCCTATAGGCAAAATTCATATCCAAAGAGTAGAGTGACAATGATGAAGTAGAATGCAGGCTTACGCGCGGTTCGCCTACTCCAGTTGTCCTCTTGAGCCTAACGGGCAAGCTTCAAAGCACGATAAAATATCAGTGAAAACCGGAGAGTGCACATTCCAGATCATTAATGAAGTAACACTTGATTCTTGAGAGATGTGAAGCTACAACTACAAGTAATTAAACTAACCCAGCACTTTATGAAGGAGAGAACTGGGTACTATAGCATCGGAGTAAAATAAAGTGAAAAAACATCATACTTCAAGCTTTTGTTTCGAGGGGAAGACATGGTAAGTTTGAAATATAAACAGTATATAATTGACAAATCATGGAATTTCCTAATAGTGTCTTTGAGGGTTCTCGTCTGAAAGTTACTTACAAGAAAAGAATTTAAATGATTCTCTAATACTTAGGTATCATGCTCGTAAGGCCATGAGGACAGAAGAAACCTTCACAAGAACTTGAAAATTTAAATGGTTCGCTATTACTTACGTATCAAATAATGATCTCTCTTTTCTTTTGTTGTTTTACTTTTACTTGAAAATTATGAAATCGTTAAAGAAGAGGAAAAATTCTCTTTACTCCTTTATGCAAAAACATTTGGCAGAAGTATAAAAGAAAGAAAAAAACACATTAAGCTCGTGATTTTTCTTTTAGAAAATCAGAAACTGCTTGGGACCTGCGCATGGGTGCAAAATTTGACGCATAGCTCAACTGTAAAGTGTTTCTGTAGTTTAAACAATGTTAGGCCCAGAAAAGAACGAGGGCTCTATTAATTCACTTGACTTGAGTACATGACCCAATATGGGCTAAACTTAGCCCATAGTGTTGTTGTCGAGCCCAATTATAGCCAATATATGATATTCTAGGCACAGCTTATAAGACTCAACAACTCAATTGGTTACAGGAATTAATTGGGATCAACCGAGACTTTGAATCTTTTTAAAACCCAAGTGATATTTTTCGAAGTTTCTTTTTTTTTTTTAACAAAAATGAGTTTGGAGGAAGGATTGACTCGCTGAGTGGAGCCAGATCTCATAACATTCGCTTTACGCACGTAGAATGAATTTGGACATGATAGTGACTGATTATCAGTTTTGTCTGGTTAGAGAATTAAGCTTCATTGACTCTGGAATGCAGATCGCACCTCGTGGCGTGATCTTTTTATCACCGGTTCTTACGGGGAGCTTTATCTTTCAAGCGAGCTCAAGTTCAAATTCAAATTCAAAGGGAATTTATCATTTTGTGAGCGTGGGGCATGCTTGATGGTGAAATATTGTTGACCATTTCAGACAAATAGCATTTGATCACATCAAGAATTTACCACTGCAAAGTAGACCAAGACTTGTTGAAATGACATTAATGAAGAGAAGTGAGATCTTTCATCTTTTAATTAATTTCAAATCCCATCTTTACTATAACTGATCTTAAAAGGGAAAAAAGAATCTTTTCTTGCAATCATACCCTCTACTTGCTCAGCATATATAGTAACATGTAGTGCCTTACATGTTGCTGAAAACATGTAAAACATTATTCATGTCTTAAACGTTAAGAAAGAAGAGGACTAGCCTTAGATATTGCATGACGTGAGCCTAATTCATGCTCGAAATCTAAAGCCTATGTTGCATGTCATCTTACGAGGTTTAAAACCACTCTAGTGTCTATAAAATAGCTGTCACTCTTCACACAGCATTGTCCAGCTAATAACACACTAACACACGACACGACGCAACTATTACAGTCTTGGCTACCAACAATATTCTCTCATCGAATAAAAAGTAAGTGATCGGCATTCTCATGTATAATTAATGTACGATTCTAATGTATAATTTTGAGGATATAACTTAACTTATTATATTTTAAGTTTGTTTTTTAAAAATTTCTAATTCAAACTTCACAAATTTTAAAATTATTACAAATTTATTTATTGTTAATTTTGAGATACGTGCAAATTGATCTAAATATCTCTATTAATAAAAAGAAATACAATTATGCAGATTTTAATATACAATTTCTTAGTTAATTAATGAACTAGTTAGAAAAAAAAAGTAATGGAGGACAAAAATACCTTCATTATTGATATAAAAAAAACCAAGTTGAAAAAAAAAATAAAAGCACAGGGACTTTAATGGTTTCCAACTTCCAACTAACATTTGAAAAAACCAACGAACGTGTATTAGATATATCATTAGGAAATTAGATACAAACAAAAATTGTACAGATGACTAGAGGGCGTTTGATTTTGGATATTGATGTATTATAAAAATATATTGACTTTAAAAAGAAAATATTAAATTTTTTTAATGTGTTAATATTAAAAAATATATTTTTAAATAAAAAAAATCTATGTAATTGTCACATGCAAGAAGAATCTCATTTTTTCCGAGAAACAATCCCACGACACACTTATCAGTATCTTTCACACGGTTTTTCCTTTTCACACAGCACATATAACCCTCTTCACATTTTCACCTCCGTTTTTTTTTTTTCTTTCTTTAATAAATATAGATTTTTTTAATTTTTAATTATTTTATATATTACTATTAAAAAATAAAATATATTATTTTAATATATTTTAAAACAAAAAATACTTTAAAAGACAACCTTTCCTACCTATTAAAATCAACGACAGTCCAGCCATTTTAAAACAAAAAATACTTTAAAAGACAGTATTAAAATCAACGACAGTCCAGCTGCCTTGTATTGACTTTTGACCATGAAGTGCTCGTAGTTGAGTCTGTAATCAAGCACTGCTCTCCCTTTTGGATTCTGAGTCTTTTGTTTACGTGCATACCTGTGAAGGAGAGCAGGAGCTGTGTTCTTTTCGTTTATTTTTTTAATTATAGAGAGAGAGGTGAGTGGCTTTTTTTCCTCCTTTTGTTGTTTATCTTGCAAAATGGGTATTAAATTTTGGTGCTTTAGCAGACTTTCTTTAACATCTTTGCTTGCGTTTGTTTCTTGATGGGCTTGCTTATCTAGTTGCACTGTTTAAGAATAAAAAAATGTTTCTTTAAAGAAGAATTAGGAGCTTATTGTCATGCGAGAGAATGGCTAAATGAAATGAAGGCTGCCTTACATGGATGAATTGGGTTCTGGAGCTTCTGTTCTTGGTTGGTGACTATTTCACCCTCAGTGGTGGTATCATCTTCAAGCTTTGCGTTGATTCATGGTTGTTTGAATAAAGATAGGATGCTTCTGGTTATGGATGAGATTTCAAAGACAATGCTCCCGGGAATCGGGAGCATATGATCTTGGTTGGTGAATTCTGATGGCTTAGGCTCTTTATGAAAGGAAAAGGGCAACAACTTGGTCTAGGCTCTTTATGTTATGGGATGGTGATTAAGAAGAGAGAAAGTTATTGCCTTTAGAAAATAACGATAGGGTTCATGTTTTAAGTTTATTACCTTTGATTTAAGTGCTTTGTGAGGAAAATTGGCCTCTTTTTGGCTTCTTTGATTTGATTAGCATGCAAGTTTTGGATAATTTATTTAGTTTTGCAATTGAATAAATTGCCTTACTTCATAGGTTAAGGTTTTGCTTGTATGAATACCATTGGTAATTCTATGGGTACTTGGATGTGTTTCAGGTTTGTAAACATGTTTGGTTTCTGTACTTTTGTTTTCTCGTATCCTTAATTATGATGTCGTTGTTGTAATGCTAACACAATTGTGGGTATGCAACTAGGCAGTTGCTCCTATAGGAACTATGAAGTGTTTTCACTTCTCTAATAAAGAGAAAAATGAAGAACCAAAGACTTGTAACCAAATCGGTTCTGCCCGATCCACTTCGTCTACATCAACGTCGATGTCAACTGATCGTGACCTGAGGAAATCTGGATCTGGGTTCAATTCTCAGAATGTATCAGATTTTAGCACAGAATCGTCCACAAAGAACTCATTTGCTGCTCTGTCTCAAAGACAGAGCAACCTTAGAGTCTTCACATTCTTAGAACTGAAGACAGCGACAAAGAATTTCAGCCGCTCTGTCATGATTGGAGAGGGTGGATTTGGTGGTGTGTACAGGGGAGTAATCCGAAGCATGGAAGACTCAAGTAAGAAGATCGATATCGCTGTCAAACAACTGGGCAGAAGAGGGCTCCAGGCAAGCTTTCCTTTTTTTTCTCCATGCCTGGTTACTACATATCATTCTTAAATCAACATTTACTGTTTGGGGAGCGCGTCCATAAATTGTTAACGAAGACAAAATTTCATTGTCTTTAGATTATTGCCTTAGAAAAATCTTAACACTTGAAATCTGATGAATTTTGAGAATTGAACTCGGAAGATTGTAATTAAGAAGAGAGAAAGTTATTGCCTTCAGATTCTTAGTTATGAGATGTTGCTAAGGGTGATTTCATCTTTGTTCACAGGGGCACAAGGAATGGGTGACTGAAGTAAATTTTCTAGGGATTGCTGAACATCCAAATATTGTCAAATTAGTGGGCTACTGTGCCGAGGACGATGAACGGGGAGTCCAGCGCCTTCTGGTGTATGAATTTATGCCCAATAAAAGTGTGCAGGATCACTTGTCAAGTAAATTTCAGAATGTTCTTCCCTGGGCGACACGAGTAAAAATTGCCCAGGATGCTGCCCGAGGCTTAGCATACCTCCATGAAGGAATGGATTTTCAGGTATTTTCAGGTATTTTCAGGTATTTTCAGGAAGGAATGGATTTTCAGGTATTTTTAACTTGACTTTCTAAGATGTTGTTATAAGCTTGCTATTACTGAGTTTTTGTGAACCTCCAACCCTCCTTCAGTGATTGGGGTTGGGTTTGGATCTTCATATTTACCATATTTTTCCCTCCCCCTCTGCTCTTCGTTTCGAGTTTGTTCGGTGTTCTTCAATTTGGTTGTGCTACTGTGTCTAGTTGCTTCACTTCACTTTACTGCATGTACCATTTTTCCTTCATTGTTTGTACAGATTATTTTCAGAGATGTCAAGTCTTCAAACATACTACTGGATGACCAATGGAATGCAAAGCTGTCGGACTTTGGGCTGGCCAGATTGGGACCTTCAGATGGTTTGAGCCATGTTTCGACTGCAGTATGTTTATGATTACTAAAAATGATCCTTCAATCATGTCAAACAAACTGTTTTTATGCTGAATTGACAAGGCTTATCAACCAGTAGCATTAGATGCCGAACTACAACTTTTTGCTTTCAGTTTCACATTACGCGAACTTTCTTATGCTGATTTGATAACGCTATTTATTCAGCCATCTAGAGTCTTTGAGACTGTATTACTGCATCATCAGAACTCTGTAGTAAGATCAGTTTGTAGACATAAAGAAACTGAGGAACCAATTTATCTCATTTGCAAACAGGTAGTTGGAACAATCGGATATGCAGCTCCTGAATATATTCGAACTGGGCGTCTCACTTCTAAAAGCGATGTGTGGAGCTTTGGGGTTTTTCTATACGAACTTATAACAGGCAGGCGTCCTTTGGATAGGAACCGCCCAAAGAATGAACAAAAACTCTTGGAATGGGTCAGGCCACACCTCACTGGTGCAAGAAAGTTCAGGTTGATCTTGGACCCAAGGCTTGATGGGAAATATAACATCAAGACTGCCCAGAAGCTTGCTGCCGTAGCAAATTGTTGCTTGGTAAGACAAGCAAAAACACGCCCCAAAATGAGTGAAATCCTGGAGATGATCAACAAGATTGTTGACACAACAGACAATGGAAGCCCCTTGCTCCCTATGAAGATTTTGGCCCCTAAAGATGCTCCCGAAAGATCTAAAAGCAAACGTATAAAGATGAGGTTTGTGGATCCAATAATTGGAGAGAGTGGATGTTGGTCTGCTTGGAGAACTAGGCAATGAATCTTGCTTTGATGAAGCAGCTCATGTATGTAGGCCGCCTTTTTGTTAAGTGTAAGTAAACTACTTTGTTCTACCTGCTTTCCTCGAGATACAATTGTAAAGGTTGGATAAAATAAATGAGTTAATTTGTGCACAGATTTTCGTTTTAGAATAGATTGCATTCGCTCATGTGTGTTGCGTATATATAATTCACTGATCCATGGCCTCTATGGAAACATATACGCCGTATACCATACAAGGACACACGGACAGAAACAATGATAATCAATGTCATCTTGAATGCAAATTTATACAGTAAAAGTTAATATATCCGGATTAACACGTGGACATTGATAGGCCATGGTATCTCCACGTGGACATGCTTCAACACCCAGCAATCCACCTAGAGAAGCCAGCCGTCCAACACGGCAACACGGGCCAGCCTGGTGCCTCGTGAGGGAGTCCAAATGCTCTTTCTCCGAACAGGATACCCTCTGTTAAATTATTCGCTTTTTGACTCCCCTATCAAGAAGACAAATAATGCACGCACGATTCTTTAACAGGTGGTAGTGGTAGAATTGGTTCAGAAGTTGTTATCTATAAAATACGAGCCATTATCTGTAGAGATGGATTTCTGAAGTGGTCTCATGGTCCGCTAGACTCGTCTCATAAAGGATGATGATATTAAACTAAAGCCACAGGCGATCTAGGTTCAAAATTAGAAATTATTTTACTGTCAAGTTTATAAAAAGCACTACCACTAGCACTTTTAAGAAGCTGCCTCAGATGTGTCTGAAAAAAGCTTCTGAATCAGAGTATAGAGCGGGGCAGTAAAACAAATGCCAAAGCCATGAGACATTAAGATCAATCCAAAAACGAACTGCCCTCGGCTAAAATAAACACACAGAGGAGCGCTAGAATTTTCACTTTCTTTGATCCCTAAAAAACGAACGGTTATTCAAATTCAGTGGACTTTGAATCGTCAGTCTCAGGATGTAAGCCACTTGGACTGCAGTGATAACTTGCTTGATGCAGGCTTCTTCTCTGAGTTGGATAATGCTAGCACCTTAAAATCTGCAAATGGGTAAAAATCAGAACCATTACAACCCTATTGATACAAACATAGAAGGTTTATATTCTTAAAAGCAGACAAGCACACAAAATCTTGTACTAGATAATTAGCAAGTGAACAAGGAAAGTATACCAGCATGCAATGGGACGCTCATTGTGGAGTACTTGGACAAAAGGACGTGCTTGCCGAGTTTGCTGGACAGCTATGCAAGACCAGCATGTTGTTACCAGCAGAAGGTGTCACAAGGCTGCCCCGCCAGTTTCTACTCCGATGAGGCTTTGCAGAGAGTTTCAAAGGTCCTTTTCCCTTTGTAATTCTGAGTTTAACTAAGACAACAAAATTCATTGTATTCTATTTATGCTGCCAAATTCCAGAAGGATACGCGATTAGAGCCCCAAAATGCTGCGTCCATGCAAATATGCAATTCATATTCTAAAGAGGGAGTCTCGAGGATGGAATTTACTGAGCAGATCCAAAGTCAAAGCATCAAGGTTCAAATAGGGTTGAGAAGGCCGGAGCTTTTCCCATCTACAAGAAAGGACACTAGTTTTTATCGCCTCCTTCAGGAAAAAGGTCAGTCCGTCCACGTTATAGAGTTTTACGTTCAAAGACATGGCTGTAATGCATTCGATCCCTTGGAAGAAAAAATTCTCACAGATGCACGCATTTGATAAGTTAAACGTCCCGAGTCCTTTTCCAAACCATGGTGATTTAACCATCGCAATTAATTTATTTTTATAGATAATCAAATAATTATTTTTTCACCAGGGGATGTGCTGGTATGAGATTAATTGGGATGATTTTTGGGCTGATAAAATTTCGAAGAAAGATAATATTTGACATTCAAAAGAGGGTTAAGTGTTAGCCATGGAAAGGAGAGGGTAAATGAAGGGGTGAAGATTCTTAATTTTTGTGCCTTTTCCTTTTCCTTTTCTTTTTTTAATTAAAAATGAATCTACTCTCGTTTATTCTTCCATTTCAATTGTAAAATATAATTATGAAAACAGTTTGATTGAATGACCCACGGATTTAAAATCTAACATATTTTGAATTTGTTTATAAATTATTTGAGTATCTAAATCCATCAAATTAAATGTGATTTAATCAATAACTTTTTTTGAAATAATATTATTTTATTTTAAAATAATTATCTAAATCAATATAAGTTTATTAAAGAACCAATAAGACAATAATAAATGTAGATCAATGCATAAACCTTGTTATTAACTTGTTAAATTTATAATTAATATCTTGAGTTATATTCTGAATCAGAATTTATATTTATGTTTTAAATTTTTTTTTTAATACCATCTAATTTAAAATTAATTCAAGAAATACTAGTGTAGGTTAATGATTTTTATAATTCTTGACAAATATTCTTAAAACTTTCTTCTTTTAATATTTTTAACACCTTAAAAACTTCACTCTCAGATTTTTTTTCTTTTTTTCCTTGGATTTGTCAACCTCAAATCACTGCATGATCTTAAATAATTGTAGAAAGTTGAAACTAATTGCACAGCGGACCCAAATCAATTCTGGTCCAAGTCAAGATATCAAACTAATCGGAAAAATTAATAATAAAAAAAACTTTTAAAATTCTTAACAAGCAGAAACCGAAAAGTTAACGAATGAAAAAAGATAATCCAGAAAAAATACACGTGGCTCAAGAAACCGAGAATCGGAGGATTCAGAGACAGCCACCGCAAGGCATCATAAACTTTATACAAACTTCAACAAAGGATGCCTAAACAGACGGCTGCTTTTACCAAACCCCATATCTCTCTATGATATTCTTTCTGTTAAGAGCCTTCCTAGTCACTTGTTCGGTTTTCGAGTTAATCCCTTTATCTATCTAGTTCGAAAGGGAAAGTAAAAAAGAAAAAGATAGATTCTCTGTTGCCTATCTTGGAGTTAAAAACCTGAACAAGGTACGTACTTATGTTGTTGTATTCAGATTTTTTTTTATGTGATCTGAATAAGGTTTGGAGTTTATGCGGTGTTTGGTTGAATTGGTGATGGGTTTTGCTTTTCTCGGGGGTTTTTGATTGAATTGAATGTTGTTAAGGGTTTCAAGGGAATGAATTTTTTCTTTTTTTAAAGTGAAGTTATGTCCTTTTTGCTGTTTTGTTGATGCATTTGGATTTTTTTAATTGAATTTGGTGATAGATGTTTGTTTAATGATGTTTTCTTTTAAGGGTTAAACTAAGACGTAGCTTCTTGATGTTGGAAATCTGAAGACTTTATGCTGTGTTTGGTTGAATTGGTGATGGGTTTTGTTTTTCTCTGGGGTTTTTGATTGAATTGAATTTTGTTATGGGTTTCAAGGAAATGAATTTTTTTTCTTTTTTAAAAGTGAAGTTATGTCCTTTTTGCTGCTTTGTTGATGCATTTGATTTTCTTTCTTAATTGAATTTGGTGATAGATGTTTGTTTAATGATGTTTTCTTTTAAGGGTTAAACTAAGACGGAGCTTCTTGATGTTGGAAATATGAAGTTTTGATTGAAGGATGGGAATTGGGTTAGTAGCATAATTGCATTAGTGGTTTTTTATGTTGAAATTAGGGGGGTTTGATTTTGATCGCTGCAAGTGGGTTTTGTGGCCTTATTGCAGGATATAGAAAGTTTTGACTTTTAATTAGTGAAAGTTTGAAGTTATTTGTTTTGTTTCTGTATAGTGAATTTGATTAGATTTTGCATATTATGGCTAATTTTGCAGGTGCCCGTTAGAAAGATTTGTGCAAGTACATATCACAAGGCAGTTGTGCTTTCTTTAAAAGATTTCATTTATTTTGATAGCCAAGATGATGGTAAATGAGCAGGATCCAGATGTTGTTCGATGGGGTCTCAATGATCTAATTGATGTTTGTACACTTTCAAATTCTGGTTCATGTAATTCTGTTACTTGTTATGGCATGGATACATTTAACGTTGAGTATGTTAGAGAATATTATAATGACCCGTTATATGCAAGTAATGTGGAGAATGATGCTGTTATTGCTCGTGCTCTCCAAGAAGAACTTTCAAGGATTGCTTATGTGGAAGCATCTGAGTTAAATAACACTGAACGAGAATCAATTATTACACAGCACTGGCCTGGTCCTCATGAAACATACCATGGTTCTGGTACTAGGAAATTCCGCACCTGCTATGCAATTCCATAGTTATTTGTGGTCCTCTATTCTTCATGATATATTTTATTTTATCTGCCATGTGTAGAGCATGGCAATGATCAGACAGTCACTGTTGATCACAGTGAAAGCATGATGGATGCTGATGATTGCAGCAAAAATATGGCAGATTATTATAGCAAGAAGGATGAAATATTGATTCCTACTTCATCTTCTAGCAATGGAGAAAATTCCCTCGAGATGGAAGAGCTGGCACTTATTTTAAATATAGAAAATGAATCTGCTCTTGATGGTGAAGTGGGCAAGAGGATAACTGAGATGGTTCCTGTTTCTGTAAGTATGACTTCTGCCATTCTATACCACACTGCAATGAAGATTAAGATAATATTCCTTCCAAACTTGAGTGATTGATATCCTTTCAAAAATGAAGAATTGAGTATCCTAAATTTCTCATCTGTTTTTGGCAGCATGTCCCTAAAACTAATGGAGAAATACCATCGGAGGATGAACAGATGTCAGATCATCAAAGACTGCTAGAAAGGTGTGGCATATATATTCCTCTCCTGTGTTTTTAATTTTATGCAAATTTGTCACCTGCCATCTCATAAGGTGTGAATCCCCAAGTATTTGTCTTTATATTATAATGTACCGCTTCAAACTACAACAGGAGATAGAGAACTGGCTGGAAGTGGATTATTGGGCCTTATGGTATACCTTGCATCGGAAAATGTTATGGATAACTTTGTTTTCTAGATAGATACATTCATATTATTATCAATTATGAACATTTTGGGGGTAAAGGTTTCAGTATCTAAGGCATAGTGTGTGGGTGTTAGTATCTTTCAAGTTATCATGTTCTCCTACAGTATGGGTTTTGAGATCAAGGTTTTTGGTGTGTTTCATGTGTCTCCTACCTTGATGAATGTTGTGGTTTTGCCTCTAAATTATTTTGACTTGAACAATAGTGTTAATATCAATGTCCTTTCTGTTTTATTAGGTTAAAGGTATATTATCTTGTTGAGAATAAAGTTCAAGCAGATGGTAACTGTCAGGTTGGTACCCACTTTATTTTAAAGATAAATGGTAGTGCAAAAAGCTTGCTTCTAGAACTCTGTTACCTAGTGTTATTTGCTCAAGTTATGTCTCACTTTTTTTTTTTTTGCAGTTTTGTTCTCTGTCAGATCAACTCTATCGCTCTCCTGAGCACCACAATTTGGTGAGAGAACGAGTTATTGATCAGGTTGGTTGGTGTTTTAATAAGTGTGCTTCTATGTACTTGGTCTTCTTGATCTTATACATGTAAGCATGACTGTAATCATATTTCACGCCATGTTGATTTCATCAGCTCAAGTCTCAGCCGCAAATGTACAGCAGCTATGTTCCTATGGCTTATGACGACTATCTGAAGAAAATGAGCAAGTTTGTTACTTATCTCTGTTTCTTTCTTTTTTTCTTTATTGTTCTTTTTTTTTTTAAAGAAAAAATTTTCATAGCTTTCTTTAAATAGATTCATGCTCATGCTCATATGTATGTACTTTTTATGTGGTTAAAATCAGGAGTGGTGAATGGGGTGACCACGTTACATTGCAGGCTGCTGCAGATTCGGTATGGAAAAATAGATAACTTTGTAGATTCCCTCTTCTTTTGTCTGCTTTTCTTTCTGTTGATCTTCAAGTTATTTATTAACCTTTTTCTGCAATGTATCAATGGGTTGTGAATTTGATGATAATCACTAATGGATATTGAAAACATGGATTCAACTAGTTATTTATGCAACTGAATTCACCTAAGCCTGAATCTTCAACTAGTCGAATTGAGTTTCATAAATCTTTTTCCTTCACTCTGCTTTTTGTGAGCCCAAATTCTTCATGAGACGACTAGGGATTATTATATCGATTCTCATAACTTTAATTAAATGAATTGCTTTTATGCTTATGTGCGATTCTTTCTAGGATATAAATTGTGTAATTTCTGTTCTTCTCTGACAGAATCTTTTTCTCAATGCATTATATAGAACTTGAAATATGCAAGTAATGTAGCTACTAACATGAAATTTCATGGAAGCTTGCTACGTTACTTTATTACTTTTTAATTATTATTTTTTATGATTTCATGTTTGCTGTCGGTCATTTTATTTTAGAGGCTTAAAGCTTCTTTAACTACTGTCTATGCATGTTGCCATGCAATTGCAGTATGGTATCAAGATATTTGTGATAACTTCATTCAAGGATACATGTTACATCGAGATCCTTCCAAGAGTTCAAAAGTCCAATCGAGGTAAGATTAGAAAATTTTACATTTTGAACTTGTGTGTTGATTAATACAAATCTAAAGCTAAGAATGCTCCACCATCTTTCTAATATATGGAAATTTTACATGTAAGATTTTTTGGTTGTAGAATAAAATTTGTTGATTATGGAATTAGGAAATGTAAAATGGGGAAAAGTTTATTCCATTGAACACTCAAATGATCAGAACAAGAAAATTCTTATTCAGCTTCAACCAATTAGTTTCCAAAAAAAAGAAGAAAAAAGAAAAGAAAGATCCATGAAAACGTTGGATGAGATCTGAAATCCAATTCCCTTGCTACTTGTGTTATGTGCAGTTATTTTCTTGAGCTTTTGGGCGGAGGTGCACTACAATTCTATTTATCCAGAAGGAGGTAAACAGTTGGATCTTGTTTGTCAAAGCAATGAATATTGTTCTATGATACTTCTTAGTAGGGTCCATCTTTTTCTGGCTTCCATCTGATGCTGACTTGGTCTTCTATAAAAGCAATTTTGAAAAACATGAGCATCTCTTGGCTGGAAAAGAAAAAAGAAAAAAAAAGCTGCCCAATGAAAACACCATGGGTGAATTACTGTTGGGGGTAAACACATGTCATTTTGCAAATTTTGCAAGTGTCTTACTATATCATCTGACACGTTGTCTTGAGTGTTTGATTTGTTTAACTTGCATGCTAGATTTCTTTTCCTAATTTCTAACAGTTTTAGCTGCTTTACCATTGCTGCTCTCTCTAATATAGAGGCACCGCAATATGAGCCTAAGAAAAAGAAGAAGTGGTGGAACCTTGGATGATTTGAAGCTAGGACCTTCTGTGGCACACCTCATAAGAAGAGTTTTCATTACATGGAGAGGCTATTCTATTCAATTGCCTCACAATTTGGCGTATCAGAGTAAAGGGGAAATGCGGATGCCATTGCTGCGCCATTTTTTCTACCTTTGTGCATATTATACATTTTAGATTTGAAACCCACCCCCCACCCCCCAAAAAAAAGAAAAAAGAAAAAAAGGGTTCCATCTTCCGTCATTTTTTCATTCCTTTTCCCGCTGTTCTGACTGTACATAGTAGGCAGGGCAATACAAGGGTTTTCCTGTACCCTTCATGGCAGAACCGGAGACACTATTTCTGAATAAATCTTAGCTGCTGTATATCTTGCATGCTGTTTACTTTGTCTTTTTAAGATTTGTGCTCTTCAACTTTTGCTTCTATTCTCACTTTTTTTGTATTTATTTTTTATTTTTTTGAGAATGCTCAATCCGAACAAGTAGGGTAAATCCAATGGAAAAAAAGAAGGGTGGTCACAATGTTCGTGAAGGGAAAGAACAGGAGAAAAGGGAGTTGAATTTCTCCTGTTCTTCTTGCGTAGAAATGTGAAAACTAAATTCGTAACTGTTGTTATTGGTGAACAATATTAATTGTCATTGAAAGAAAGTATTAGCATGAGATTAAAAAAAAATAATCGGATAACAGTCCAATGGAAAGAAAAATAAATTAAAAGTTGTTCAATATATATAAAAAAAAAATAAAGAGTGATTGAAACTCTTAAATAAATTGATATGTTCTTATAGTTAAGTTGATCTGTAAATATTTTTACTATTAAAGCAACAAAAAATTATAATGTTTGCGTGAAGAAACTTTATTTCCTTACCCAATGTGTTGTCTAAACTCTAGATTCCAACATAAAAAGATAATTATATGAATTTAATACATGAGAAATCAGATAATATTTCCCTTCCACACCCAGAATACATGAAAAAGAACACTTGACATTTCCTTCTTGGAGGGGCAATTTTGTTTAATTTTGAATAGATTTCGGACGAAATTGAAAGCCATGTAATTGGAAAAGAACAAAACTTTGTTTTTCCGTTTTTTTATTTTCCAAAAAGACAACCCAAGCTGCAGCACCTTGGTGTATCTTAAGTTTTCCTATGAACGACCCGTCATCCCCACCAACTATGTAACTGGAAGCTCCGTAATAGAAGTCACAGGACAACCCAAATCTTCTCCCCCCTCCATCCGTAATAGAAGTCACAGGACAACCCAAACATTATAATCACCCACCAAAACCCCTAAAACCCTAAATCTAATGTTCTTCAAAAAACCCACCTCTAAAACCCCAAAAATCTTACTCCACTCTTCTCAAAATCCAATCTTTTCCCTTATAAACCATAAAGCTAAGAACCCACTATATACATGCACACAAACCAAGAACTATGTAGATGTGTACATGAAATGGAAAAAAGATCAATACCTTGACACAATAGAGCACATACACAAGTCCATTCAACTTAAACCCGTCATTTCTTTGAAAAATGTGATAGCCCAAAACCCCAATGGTTGTATCCCAATCTCTGACGTGTCAAAGAAAGGCTTGCACTTTGATGTGAAAATCAAGGTTGCAAGGTTTTTGAGGCAGTACCCATCGATCTTTGAGGAGTTCACTGGTCCTCAGTATAATTTGCCTTGGTTTAGATTGACCCAAGAAGCTGTTGAGATTGATAGAGAAGAGAGAAGGCTGTATGAAGATTGTAAAGAGGATCTGAGAGAGAGGTTAAAGAAGTTTATTTTGATGAGCAAACAAAAGGTGTTGCCTTTGAAGGTTATTCAAGGGATGTTATGGTATTTGGGTTTGCCCGAGGATTTCTTGGAGTGTTTGGATATGAATCTTGATGGATCTTTTAGGGTGGTGGAGATGGAAGAAGGGTTAAAGGGATTAGCCGTTGAGAGCAATGAAAGGGTTTTGTCTGTTCTGCAAAGAAATGCAATGAAAAAAGGAGTGTATTCCAATGAACCTATGGAGGCAATTGAGTTTCCACTTTTCCCATCTAAGGGTGTGAGGCTAAGGAGGAAGATTGAGGTTTGGTTAAGAGAGTTTCAAAAGGTTCCATATGTGTCCCCATATGAGGATTATTCACATTTGGATCCTAATAGTGATATTGCTGAGAAAAGGGTTGTAGGGTTTCTTCATGAGTTGCTCTGTTTGTTCGTTGAGCATTCTGCAGAAAGGAGGAGACTTCTGTGTCTTAAGAAGTATTTTGGGTTACCACAGAAGGTTCATAAAGCATTTGAAAGGCATCCCTACATGTTTTATCTGTCTTTGAGGAATAAAACTTGCACTGCTATTCTTAAGGAGGCTTATTGTGATAAAATGGCCATTGAGAGGCATCCCATGTTAAGGATCAGGAATAAGTACATTAACTTGATGAAGGAATCACAGGTGATTCTAAAGAGCAGAAGAGTGAACAATCCTTATGTCGAACGTCCAAAACTGGATTTAGATTTGGATTGTGCTGATGAACAAGAGTGTGTTGAAATAGGTAGATTGTAACGATGAAGTGAATTAGAGCTGAAAGCTGTACTCTTGTCGAATGATTCTGATTTCACTTCCTTCAGGTACTTGGTCCATTTAACCTCTTTAATTACTGGATTATTATACCTGCCGTCTTAATTGAATTTCAGCCACTGATATGTGCAAACTCTCGATCGTTGTGTAAATTTCGTAATGTAATTTTGAGAGTATCACTAATTATTTGAAAATACTTCACCAAGAGAATATCGTAACTCTAGTTACAGCAAAGAGGTGGTTGAGCTTGTTGATGACCAGTACTTGCAGGCAATTTCAAGCCCTTGTCAGGATATTATTGAATTGATGTAAACAAATCACAATAAAATATTCTCGACAAATTCCAATCAAATCAGTAAGAAGATGAGGAAATCCAATTCCTGTGCAACAATCTAAAACACGGGCTGGTCTTCTGAAGCAAAACGATCAAATTGCCTCCAAGAGGAAACTGATCAACTTTTACGTCTGCTAGTAGCATTTACATTCCATTCCTTCTGACAGATTGCGACTGTCCTCCAAGAGGAGACTGGCCAACTATAAATTGCCTCTAGCCTAAATTTACCTTTATTCTGTGAGCTGCATATACAATCAGATATTGACAAAAACGAAAACATCTTATTCCGCAAGCATGCAGTTTTCCTGCTTATTTACATCTATTATTCTCTTGGAGGACCAAAGCTATGAGATGACAACTTGCAAAAATCACCTTCCATGTTAGCTGTACAAAATTTGCATGCCCTGTTTGCTTTTTATGGCGTCAAAGAAAACGTGCCTTCCATGTTTCCAGATTAAATCAAGTTAGGAGGAGACTGTGAATGACAATCGTATGCGCCTTTCTGCATATGAGAGAGAAAGAATCATGTATGGACGCTGGTTATAAGTGAACCAGGCAAAGACGAGCAACTGAATTTTCCAAGAACAAACTACAAAGATTCCTCACCTCCAGTTATGATGAGCTTCTCAACACGCGAAACAATATGTTTACCATAAGTGTATCTCTTCAGGGCACTCAAATGAATCCTAATGCGAGAAAGAATTAACTCTAGACTTCGACCATCACAGGTCTCAAGAACCTTTTGTACAACATAATTTCCAAACGGATCTTTCATCATAGCCTGCAGTTTTGTATTCCAAACACATTGGTCATCCAGGCAATGATCAGTGAAAGTAAATAAAAACCAAAATTGGAAGCCTTGAGGAAAGCATAGGCTGCAGTAATCTTGATATTCATGATAGAAGAGCATGTTAAGATTGGATGATCATTCAAGTGTTCCATAATCAAGCTTGATTCTGCAGAGTACCGGATATTTAGAATATTTAGCAGAAAAAAAAAACATACAACAATGGAGGTATATGGCTTGGACTAGAAACAATCAAATTAGTTTTAGAAAACACATTTGAAAACATCTGTAATCTTTTAATTTTTGTGTGTGCATGTGTTTCCAATATGACCACAGAGAGGGGGTAAGGGTTGTGAATGCTAATATGACCTGCAAGGGCTCATTTTCATCAGTGGAACCAAGCATCTCATTCACCAAAAGCTGGCGCTCATCAGGGCCACCAAATGTCAAGCACTTCTCCACAACATTAGAAGCAAACTTCTGCTGACTCATCAAAACAATCTGTCCTGCAAGCTTTCTAATAATAACAGATCGTTGTTGTGGCTTACCATGCTCCAGGACATGCTATAGAAAAACAAAAGTATAAACATCAGGAAACTAACGATGCAGCACAATAGCGGAACAGTTAAATACAGAACAAGGCCACCCATTTCATGCCAATGATGCAACATAATCCAAAAACAAGATCAATTCCATATTGTCATCAACATAGAGATGTCAATATGGATGCAGAGCGCTCTAACAGATGAAGGTGAATCTGACAAAAATTGAATCCGTGAAGGTGAAGGTGAAGGTTTAAAGGATATTAAAAATTATAACTTTCATAACTTGGCACTCAATACTTCCACTTACACATCAACGACTTCATTACCAGTCCAGGAAAGAAAAGCTGTGCCACTTAATTTTCTTAACTCATATCTGCAATATATGATCTTTCACACGGAAATAATTTTCCAGTCTATAAAGGTTTTTATATTGTTAGATATTGTTTTGGCTGGAAAATAAGAGTAATAGGATAATATTTGAACCAGGAAGAAAAATAAATCCCTGTAAATTACAGACTAATTCTGCCTTGATTATCTTTCATATCCAATGGATTTTGACAGATAAAAACTAAAATTTTAGGATTAGCACGCAGGGCAAGAATGACTGGACAAACTAATATCCTAGGTACAAAGGATTTCATTCGCCAGTCAATACGCGCATAGCTGGAAAATTTTCAAAACCTGAATGACATAATTTCCATATTGATCTTGTGCATAGACTAGTTCTGCCTTGATTATCTTTCATATTCAATGGATTTTGACAGATAAAAACTAAAATTTTAGGATTAGCATGCAGGGCAAGAGTGACTGGACAAACTAATAACCTAGGAACAAAGGATTTCATTTGCTAGTCAATACACGCATAGCTGGAAAATTTCAATACCTGAATGACATAATTTCCATATTGATCTTGTGCCAAAGCGCATAAAGATTGCATAATTTCATCCATAATAACTTGCTGTGTATTCATGTCCTTACAATGCTCCAAGACCCTCTGTTGGTGCCAAATCAAAAAATTGACAAGTCAAATATGATAATATATTTCCATCAAGAAAGTTAGTGAGTAATTTTTAACCTGGATAACACGGCAACCATAAGGGTGGGTAGAAAGGGCCACAACTTGCCCATAGAAAGCTGAGGTGATGAACTGTATTCGATCTCCTGGAACACACTCTATACACTTCTGAATAACATGATTACCATTCTGATCACGAATACATTTCATGACAGAGCCATCTAGCTCTGCCACCATTTGAGTCTGTCGATCCACGTCAATCACGTCCAAAGCCTGTGGTCAGATTTAGCACATTAAGTAATTTTGATGGCCAGAAAAGGGACATGATCTTGAACATAAGGAATGTCACATGTGGGTGCATCATGGACATGTCACATGTGCACATGTATTTATGACAACAAGGGACTCAGAAAAGTACCTTCTGGATTACTCTGCACCCATACATTTGAAGACTGAGAGGTAAAACATGACCAGTAAGCTGACTGGCTAACTCCATTCTTTGACTTTCTGTACCTCGATCAAGAAACTGTGCATTCAAGAATAACAATGTAATATTAATAAATCATACACGGATAATGGAGTTGTAAAGGAGATAATCAGCAGTTAGAATTTCAAATAAAAAAAACATGTACCTTTTGTATAACATAATTTCCAAAAACATCAGTCATCAAGGTATGAGCATGAGGAATAATCTCAGGGAATATCTTGTTCGTCTCTTCAACTGAAGCAGTTTCTAGTTTCTGCTGAATAAACCGACTTCCATACTGATCTGTGCTGCATTGCATAAGAGGAAATGTTAAACTCAGACTCCAGATACTGTATGAGAGAAACAAACACCAGAAAGAATTCAATATGTACCTGAATTCAACAACATGACCAACAATGTCTGAAAGTTCAAAAGAACCAGTCTTGTTGTTCTTAAATTCATCTATTAAGGATGAAGACTGTCTTCTTTCAGCATTGCAGCCAATATCAGACTGCCATGACCCAGTGGATCCTCCCATCGAACTCCTCATCTCAGAAGCTAAGTGTGAAGCTTGCCCGCTCTGAAAACCCCCAGATCCAACAGAAGGAAGCATAGATTTCACTGCTGAGTTCTCTGGATATGGCATGCTAATATTATATGATGAATTCCTATGGTATCCCTGATTCAACCCAGCAGATTTGGTTAGAATTGGCAACTCATATTGTTGCTTCTGTTGAACAAGCAATGTCTCAAGATAAGCTTTTTGAATCCTGTCCAAGCCTCCCTCCAAAGTGCCAAAATAATCTCTAACTGGAGGCTCACTTGAACTAGCTACAGCACGTGTTGCATAATCCAACATTCTTTGCAAGGACTGAGTATAGCGGGGGTCCAGAGCTGGAGAATGAAGATCAGACCCTACTTGATTTCCCAGTCTATTGAAACCATTCTCAATTCCAACACCACCTAAAGCAAAAACAAAATTTCAAGCCAGCAAGAAACGTATCTATCTATCCAAGCGTTTGTTGTACAAATAATTTCTGTGAAAGGTCAAAAGAAACAAAGATAACCTGTGTCAAAATGATTCTTGATCATTGAATTCAGTTTCAGTGTCGAATAATCATCAGGTACATGGCCAGTGAAATCCATAATTGGAATATTTGCATTTTGATGATAAACATTTGATCTTTCCAAACTTCCAAGGCCCAAGGAATTCATTTGTGAGTGAAGATTGGTAGAAGAAGAAGTTCTTCTGGGAATACTAACTTCCCCATTATAACTTATCTTAGAAGCATTATTGTTTGGTATGATCCTGTTGTTTCTCGGCATATCAGTATGGTTGGTAGAAAATGAGAGATTTTCTACCTTGGATGTTTCTATGAGTTGCTGATGCAGAGCCTGGTCAGCACCATTTGACATGTTAAAAGGAAAATGTGGCTCACTGTCCAGATCCATTTGCAGTTGGCCTCGTGTATGACTCTCTTGATCTGTGAGTCTAGTGTTCAAAAGGCTTAATCCAGACAACGTATTGGCAATTTCCCCAAGCTCGGTAATCCCAGAAGAATGATGATTTTGGACAGTCATGCCAACAGCATTCTTCTTCTCAATAGGACCAACTCTGCTGCCAACAGGATGTAGACTAGAAATAGCAGGCCTCCCAAGCAGCTGCTGTTCAGGTGCTGTACTCCTAGACAATGATGAGCCCACAGCAGATGCAAAGGAGTGAGAAAATGTATAGCTATGGCTTTGAGTTCCTGCGAAGGCAGTGGTAGCTGCTCCAGAATACAAGCCTTCCAGGGATTCCATTCCATCATGTAACCCAACTTGATTAGGATCACATTCACCAGTTGTACCCAGAAGATCAGCAAAAGTAGTATGACTTGCTGGGGAAGATAGTTGACCTGGTATGGAAGTGGGCTGATCAAGTCCTTCCTGAAACATAAAAATGTCATTTAAAAAGCAAAATGAAATGCAACACCTAGCATATAAAAGATACAATAGAACGCAATACCTAGCATTTGCTTAATTAATGATAAATTTGCTTCACTCATAGTCTCATTCTTCAACCTTAAAATTTATCAACTAGTGCAAACATTTTGTCCTCGATAAGCTAAAATAGACTTTGATAATTGCCATAATTTTAATAAAAAAAATTCCTTCAACATCATTTTATGCACAAATGGCTGAACCCAATGTGAAATTCCTGATGTTCAGCTACCAATCCTTGTAGTATTATTAAACAGTTGGCAAGTTGATTCTCGTAAAAGCTCTTTATTTTTATATTGCTATATCCAATACCTGTAGAATGTCAGCAAAACTTTTCCTCCTTGCACCAAGCCTGGAGCGCTGCAATCCAAGATCACTCGAACCTCTATCAAGCCACTTGGATGAAGCATTCCTGATGACATTATTTCTACTTGAATTACTCAATTCTGTCAAATCAATGTCAAGCTTATGCACTGAAAGTCCTGGCTGTATTGAAAACAGTGATGAACTATCGCTATCTTCTACCACCTTATTCTTCCTCAAGTTGCCAATACCACCAAACATAGATCCCGGAGACTGAAACCTTTGTGCAACACGCCAATCCTCCTTTGACAACAAAGGTGGGGGCAATCTTGGGTTAACACTGTCATGAGAATAGTAATACGAAAGGTAAGATGGGTGCGAGCGAATCTCCTCTTCGGTCAAAACCACATTGTTACAGTTACCGTTACTACTAGTGACATTATTGATGTCACTCAAATTATAGTTCCTAAAAAGGCTTCCCACGGCACTTAATGATCCCTCAACAGTAGGCGGAGCACTGCCACTCCTATATCTATCAAGATCCCTTTCTATTCGTTCATTACGACGCCGTGCTTGTAGAATCAGTTCCAGTTCACTCTGCAAATTATCCTCTAAATTACCACCGAACCCCCCTTGTAGATAATCATCCACAGTCGGTAGCATCTCTATGTTACTGCTCCCAGTGAACATCTCTCAAAGAAACTGAAAATAAGAAAAATACAATAAACAACCAAATCAAAAATAAATAAATCCAAACCTCCCCACGAATTCCATATGTTTACTTGCTAAGAAATTTTACAGAACTCTTTTTTTTTTTTAAAAAAAAAAGGGATCAAATTAAAAATTAAAAATCCAAACTATAACACTAATTCTCTGTCGGTCGCTGAGAAAAATTACGAAATTCAATTTAAGACGAAGGGGTCGAGTAAACTGGCACATTTAGCAAGATTAGGATTTTCTGGAATATAAAATTGAAGAAAAATTAAACATAATGAGCACAGGAACATAACCAGACGTGTAAAAAGATAACCAGACGTAAAATAAACTAAAATCTAAGCACATTGTCTATATCGCATAAATATTATTAATTAATCAAGCAAGAAAATCGAGCTTTTATTATTGCATATACGCATTTAAAATTAATTAATTCAGGAAAAGCTCATACATTTTATTCCATTTTTTTAGCGTTGTTTCTCAGCAATCAAACAGTGCTTCAAGAAATTAAAATCAAACAAAAAAAATCTTTAATTGCATCAAGATTCCATTCCTTCACGATTAACCCCCGCATCAATGAAAGAACTGCAACCTAATAAAATAAATAAATAAATAATCAATACACGCATATAGTTTTATTTTTTTAAAAGAATCTAAAACAGACAATAATCAAATTTGAAACTTAGGAAAAAGGGTTAAGCAACAAATGATGTCGTGTCTAGAATTGAGGAGAGCTCCTTGACTAATGAGAGGTAATATAAAAAATCGTGGAAAAAAAGAGGGGAGAGAGAGAGAGAGAGGATTTACAGGGGAGCGAGAGCATGGAGAGAGGAGATTCTTGAGAAACGGTCAGTTTTTCTGTTTCCAATTATTTATTTATTATTTTATAGACAGTGAAAAAAGAGAGGGAATTGTGAGGACCGTTGATCGATAATGGACGGTGATAGACGGTCGTTACGTGCATGGGCAGCATTCTCGTCGAGGTCGTTTAAACTCTCTCTCTCTCTCTCAACATCTACCTTCTCTAATAAACCTGTTAAATTATCGAATGCATTTTACGATTTTCCCATGAAACCATAAATATTTATATTTAAATAAAAGAGAGAGACCACAAAGATTCTTACATTTGAGTCTCGTCTTCATAATATTTATTGAATTTAACAACACCATTACAGGATATATTAATATTTTTATACACTTGCCATCTGAGTATAACATGTTAATATTAATATGTTTATTATTAATAGTTGACGTGTTATCACATTAATAAACTTAATTTTATAAATATATATGTTTCAACTCCGATATTTTAGGCCAGGCACTTCTTGGGCCTATAAATATTACCCGGCCCGATGCAGGACGAGGGTCCATGGGCCTTGTCCGAGGGATATCAATCCTAGGCCCATCACCACCTAAACAATTTAACACAAAACAAAGGAGAAAAACAAAATTTTGATTTAGCAGTGATGAGGGCACCGGTTTTTTCTTTATTTTGTATTTCTCAAAGTATATTTTCTTTTTGCTGCAGATCAGTATTCCGCATCTAATCTTTTTGCAGCAGATGAGGTTATTTAACCAAAGCTGAAATCATTAAAAAAAAAAGACAGTCTTCTTCTCTTTGTAATGTTTTTTTACAGAGCAAAAAAAAAGAGCAGAAATAAAGAGATACCGATCAGGAAAAAAGAATGGCGAGCAATACCATAATTCACAAGGTATCCTCATTTTCAATCATTTCACGAACTTCATTAATGACCAAATATGCTTTGTGACCACCAATCACCTCTGCCTGTTTCTTGCTATCCTTCCATAGCTGTAAAACAAAGAGAAACAGCTTTAGGAAGAGAAGTGCAGAAGGAAAATACTGAATCTCAAAAACATATAATCAAAATGGCAATTACCTGAATGGTTGGCATTTTCTGCACAGATTTCACAGTCCACAGCAAACAAATACATGAAAAATCGAACAATTAACTGTCAATCACAAGTGCTTGGAATGTATATCTTGCTGGAGCAAACAGAAAACATGGGATTAACCTTCAAAATGCCTGCGTTCTTTGTTTTTTGATATGCCTGTGCATATTAAAAGTTTTTTGCGACAGGAATGGCCTTGGAGTGGAATTTATGACAAGAAATAGCCAGTGCTCCTAAACTATTCACCAACTAGTTAAATGTTTCATGAGGTTAGGCAGAACCTAAAAATCGACCCATTCCCACCTCTCAAAGTGATCTTAAACTAAATTTTCAACCCTCTTCCAGCCCTAGATCTCCCCCTCCCAAAATGATTTTGTATCTCTTATTTCCTAGATAGAATAACTTATAACTGCTCAGTTAAAATCGGATTTAACTTCTCCTGGCTGTTGGATATAAAGTTACAAAGAAGGAAGAATTACAGAAAGTATATGGAACCATAAGACTTACAGTGACTCCTGCACGAGTAACAAGTTTGTGTGGAACATTATTGACGTCGACACGGTAAAACCGCAATCTGTGTAGCATCAGTGAATACAAAAATAAGGAACATTCTCAATAACTATACAATTTTCAACATGTCCAATGGGCAATTCCCCTCTAATTAAGGCATAGACGATCAGAAACGAAAATAGAGCAAACCTTCTATCGTAATCAGTTGCCAACTTTTCCAATTTTGGTTTCAAATATATCCATTTTCTGCACCAGCTTGCCATCCTACAAGAGCAAATATGACCATGTAAACCAATTGTTATACAGTAACTTATCCCAGATGAGAAGGGACTGTTACTTAAAGTTCAACTCAGAACACACAAATAAACCCACAAAGATTAAAATTTGCACTCCCGTTTGCCACGATTTCTCTTTAACCATATAAACCAGTTTCAGAAACAAAGCAATTGGAACAAAAACATGACAAACAAAGACATTCTATCGAAACTGCTACGAGAGTAAAAAAAAATCTGAACTTGCTCCTTTTCTCATATTTTTTTCATTGAAAAAAAAATTGGCCCAGATGCAGAAACAGCCCTAACTAAAGCAAAGTCTAACCAATTCAAACAAAACCCAGAGACAAACTAACACCACACACCAAACAACGATAACAGATTCCTCAAGTTGCTGTGCCTCTGCTATCACGCGATCAAACTGACTCTCACTGTAAATGGGCTCCAACTCAAACGAAACAGGAGAATCATTCACTTCTTGCAAAGAACCCTCTTGGCTCCAAGCACGAAAGATTCTATTTTTCCCCGGCAAATCAAATTTTCCCGGGGAAGAAAGTTTCTTGAAAATCGAAATTGCGGGATTTGGACATGAAATGGGACTGCTTAATACTGACAAGTCACGTGATGGGTCACGTGGTATTGAGTTTGGAGACAGAAATCTGAGAGATGGTAGGCTGTGTAAGATCTTAGACATGTTTGAAGAAGGAATTATAGCAATTTGCTAAAAGAAACTCTAGATTTCAATATAAAGAGACATGTGTTGTGGTTCCCTTCATGCCCTGAAAGAGGAGGAAGGAAAGGTAGATTTTTTTTTTCCTGTTTTTTTGGGGGATTATGGGGGTGGCTTCCACAAGATACTAGTTGAAAAGATCAAAGGAAATATCAGAACTGGAACGCTTTTTTGACCGTTCGATTGGACTTTCAGCTCAAGGTTGCAGTCTTGGCAAGGTATCAGTTTTCTTATGCAGCACCGAAGGACAGGGTAATCTCGTACTTGTATGCAGCACCGAAGGACAGGGTAATCTCGTATTGATGTATGATAACTTGTTATTAAAATTAAAAAGAAAAATTAAAACACATCAGTAAAACATTGTAATTAGAGAGACATTGCCCTTTGTATTAGAATTTTGCTATTCTTAAAAAAAAAAATAACAAAACTTGTTATTGAGGTTATATTATTTTTTCATGAAATTCATTGGATATTATCAAATTAATCAAAATAAATTCATTTTTTATTAATACTGTTAAATGATTTTAATGTCCTGAAAAACAAAATTTTTAAAATAATAATCTAATATATATTAATATTATATTTTAGATCTTATTTTTTTATATTTATTAAATATATATAAATCTTCTAAAGATCAAGATATTTTTATATCCTTTAAATACTTACATATTTTCATTTTAAAAATATTTTTCACCAACATTAGAAAACATATAATATTCTTTTTAATACTACCGGAACAATATTACATTTTAATTATTTTTATAAAAAAAATTATAAATTATAAATAGAATATAAATTCTTTAAACAAAGGATTTGAGATCTTTGTTATTTATGTATAGTTATTTTTATAGTATCTTATTATAATATTATTGTATTTTCTTTTAAAAATCACTAATTTAATTTTAAAAAATCCTCAAATTCACAAAAAAAAAAAATACAAGTATACACCCACCTTGAGTTGCCTTTACTAGAAAAAATAAATCAGATTGTCTGAATTAAAAGATTAACTGATTATTCAAGATATGAGTATTGTTCCCAAACTACTTAGATTTTTTAGAATATCATCAAATTCAATACTTTTCTTTTTTATAGCAATAACAATTTATTTAATTATTGAATCATCACATCATATTCTAATTGAAAAGTACAAATAATAAATGTTATTGGTCAAGATCTTTAAAATATAAATATTTTTCTAGTATATTTGTTTATTTATGTGTTTCAAAAGTATTTAAAAAATTAATTTTTTTATTTTTCTTCAAATTAATATTTTTAAATTATTTTAATATACTAATATTAAAAATATTTTTTAAAAAACAATAAAAATAATATTTTAATAAATTTTTAAACAAATATCACTTTAAAAAAATATATCAAACTAACCTTGTTTAATTACTAGAAAGTAGTTTTATTTTGGATAATGAATTCCGAGAAAGTGAATTATTTTTCAATGTATGGTAGTGTAATAAAAAATAAGTTGAAAAACACTTTTTAGTTTTTGATTATGTCATGAAAAATAACTTATTAGCATTTTATTTTTCTCAAGTTTATTAAAATAATAAGAAACAAATTTTACAAACTAAAAGGTTGAATAAGAATGAAATTAATATATATATATATATAATTTCATAAACTATCTTAAATAAAATAAATAATAATCAAAATAATAGAGATCAAATCTAAAAAATAAAAAAATTAAAGTTGAAAAAATTAAAGTGATAATAATTAACATTTCATAAATTATTTCAAATAAAATAAGTAACAATAAAAAAAATGAGAATCAAATTTAATAGATAAAAAATTTCAATAAAAAAATAATAAGAAAATAGTAAATAACAATTATAAAAAAAAAGACCAAAGTTAATATAAAAATTAAATTATAAGAGATAAAATTAAATAATAAATATTCAAATATATATATATAGAGCAATCAAAAGTTTGAGGGTCAAATTTGATATAATTAGCAAATAATATAATATTTCTAAATTTTTTACAACTTCCAAAAAATATTTTTTATTCAAATTTTTCAAAAACATACTTTATTAAAACCATATCAAACTTTTCTTTAATTAAAAAGTATTTTTTATTAATTAATTTTTTTAATAATAAATAAATATAAAAATATTAAAAAATATTTTTTAAAAATTACTTTTCAAAAAATAAACATCCCCTAATTAATTATCTTGGAAAGCAGTTCTCTGAATAGTAACAACTTTTACGCTAAAGATTCTATGAACAGTGGTTTTTCGCTGACGGAAAGAAATGATCTAGGCTGCTTTCAGATTTTGTTAGAGAGGCTAATATCTGTTTACTAATTAATTAGTATTTTCTTTTTAAGAAATCTCGAATTAAAACAGCTTCTTTAAAAAATAACATATCATTTTATTATATGGTAAGGATTTTTGTTGATCCCACGTCAATTTTTTATTTTAAAAAAACTATTTCTAGGGAGGCGCACCAGAGTCGCTCCCTGTCGTCTTTGGCACCTCTTCCTCTTTCCGCTCCCTCTCTGGTCTCTTCTTGCCAAAGAAAACTCTGTAAATCCATACCTCTTGAGTCTTCATCAGGTCATTATTATTTATTATGAGCTCTGTAGGTGGCTATGTCAGAATAAAATGTTATATATATATATATATGATCACCGCGTTTATGAACGGTGTGTTGGTCTAATATGATTATGTTTTTAATGAAAATTCTGTTTGATAAATAGTTTGAATGGAAGCGAGGGTCAAAATTGTTAAAAATAATGAAATGATGAGATTCTAATGAGTTGAAAATATTTATATTTTTATAGTTTAT